AGAAAAGTTAATGATTTTAATAAAATATCAATGAATTTATTAAAAAAATAGAAAATCTCACAAATTACAAAGATAATCCGCATTTTCAAGTTTTCACTAAAATTTAATAAATGTATTATTGAAATTCGAAAATGTTTCTGCAATATAAAAATCCATGATTTTTTTATAAAACATTTATGTTTTTAAAAAATAAAATAGAAAACACATAGAAAGGAAAAAAAGAGGGAGTAGGAAAAGATGTATGGAGAACAGGAAAAAAAAGGGAAAAAAATTGAGCGAAGGAGAAACAAAAGAAATGAGCAAAAACAGTAAAAAAAAAAGAAAGAAAAAAAGGCATCCGCACTGGACCGGCCAATAATAGGGCAGCTTCGCCTTTCCGAGACCAAGTTGCAGAACATGATTCCCCTTAAATTTATATCTAAAAAAAGATAGCCCTCAATTCAATGTTTGCAGAATAGGATTCGCCATGTGTTACATACAGCTGGCAAAAAATATTCTTCTAAAAAAATGTGATTTTTTTTGTAGTGCTGCCCCTTGAAAAAGAGGACATGTAGTCCTACATTTTTAATCACTCTGGCATTGACTCAGACGAGCACGACAGAGCCAGCAGCCTAAACTTATTCGTCTGGTTACGCGTATACGCACTTTCCCGGCTTGATAAGTTAAAGCGACCCCTCTCCCCTCCTCTCGTCCATATAGTTTTCGTTTTTTCGCAGAGTATACGTACTTTTTAAACGGGGTCGGTCAGATCCGCGCCCAACTGGGCACCTCGTGACGCCGCACCTTCGCGTCATACTCATACTCCTCGTTTCTTTTTTGCCATGGTCCTATCCACAGTGTCGTGTCAGCAGTCCCCAAAAAAAGGCGAGTCGTTGTTTACTGGCTGGAACAGTAATGTTCCACGAACCACCACGATACTGTACTGCAACGCAACAAATGGGTAGAGACAAGTGCGTCGATCACACCGAGGGAGGCAAACGAAGGCAGAAGCAGCGTTTTACGGGTCGGTCAAACGTGCATCGAGCGGTGCAGCTTGCGAGCCTCCAATGAAAGCACACGCACAAACTTTTGTGGAGTAGAAATGGAAACCAGGGAAATAGTAGTAGTAAATGGAGGTAATAGCAGCCCAGGTACCCTAACTTGCACAGAATGTGATGATTCAGTCCCAAACTTGTAAAACTTGACTCCACCATACCCCAACTTGCACCTCATGTGATGATTTAGTCCCAAGCCAATCAGAGAACGACAATTGGCAGCCAGGTGGCTGGCCCGGTCAATGCACGCACTTTTGATAAAACCCCCCGCCTTTTTCCCTAATTAACCCACACTCACTCCACCTGAATTAAATCAGCACACTCCTTTTTTATGGTAAAATGTAGCATACATTGCGGACGCAGATTTTTGACTCCGAGGTGCTCCATCCACTGAAATCCTCACGTGTCGTTACTTTGGCCTGATTAGAGGCAATACATATTCAATACACTAGCGTAATACGAGCTGCGGTACAAGTTGGCCCAAGAATTAATTACGTGTGTAGTGCAGTCTGTTGTGACCGAATTAATTCAAATTCAGCGCCAGGTGTTGCAAGCCATAATGAATGGCAATGACTAAAGAGAAAGCCTCACGTTAATTTTGATTTCAATTTAGGACTTCAATCAAATCCGCTGAACAATGCATCTCGTTTATGATGGATGAGAGTCAATTCATTTGAGCATCTAATTATGTGAGACTCAGATAGTTGCAAAGACAAATGTTTCATAACATTTGGGTATATAATAAGAAACCTAAAAACATGAAACGTGATTTTTCCTTAAGCAAACGGTACAAAAATGATTTGGGTAGCACAGTACATAAAAATCTGCCTACCACGGCAGCTTCTTGGTTTACTTAGTATCCTGGTTACATAAATTACACCATTAACATCCTGGTTTACTTAATACTATCTTGGAAGAGAAAGATCTTGGTTTAAGTAAACTATCTGAATATGACCAGCTTCTTGGTTAACTTAATATTGAGTATATTGCTGGTGCCTTCCACGAAAGTTTACTTATTAATATCCTATTTATATGTCAAAAAAAATACTACATCTTAGAAGACAGAAATACATCCTGGTTTACTTAATATCCAGCTTCTTGGTTATAAGTTAGAAAAAGACATCTTACTCACAATTAAATTCAGTTTAGTCAAAAATTCACATCCTGGAACCGAACTTAAACCATGATCTCTGTCTTCCAGGATATTAAGTAAACTTCTTGGAACTTAATATCCTGGTTTACTAAATTTCCTGGTTACATCTTGGAAGACAGAAAAGCTACATATAAACCTGAGTTTCCTAGAACTTTTTTATTTTCCCATGAACATCCTGTATCGATGGGCATGTAACAATTAACCAGGTGATTTTCCGCAAAAAAGCAGATTAGCTACAGAGATCTATACTTACAGATTCAGTTGAGCTTCAGGCAGAGGTACAGAACGGCGTTAGATTGAGGATCCCCACGACGAGGAGGACCTTGAGAGTTGGCTGCATGGATTTGCTGCTCCCGATCTCGTTTGCGCCACCTATTTCCTGCTGCTCCCTTACGCCGCAGGCTGCCGTTGCTCGCTTCTCGCACGAGCTTCCACCAGCTTCCCGACGTTCTCCCTCTCGCCTGCCAGCGACAGCAGCGCGGCCAGCGCGTCCTTCTTTGTGCTCGTCGGGCCCGTGCGCACGAGGTGGACTAACTTTTCCACGACGAAAGGCTCGGCGGCACGTATGGACGGACGCCAGGCTGAGCAAGGCCGTCGCGGCGTTCTCCTTGGCGCGCCACGTCGTGCCGGAGCTCATGATGTGGGTCACTGCCTCGATGGCGCCATCGGCGTGCATGATGCGCTTCTTGTTGGCCTCGAGGATCGAAAGGTTGAGCAGCGCGGTCACGGCGTTGAGCTGGAGCCCGGCGTCCTCGGACTAGAGCAAGGGCACCAGCATCGGCGCGGCTTCGGCCTCTCCGACGAACGCGCGGTTGTCCGAGCCGGACTTGGAGAGCAGCCGGATCTCGTGCACCACGCGGTTGGCCGCGTCAGGGGAGAATGAGACGGAGAGCTTCTTCACCAGAAACGACGCCGTCATGCGCGCCACCTCGAGCGCCGCCTTGTTGGCGGCCACCGCCTGGGCCTGCTCGCTCTTGCTGGCCTCGCAGACTTCCATGGCTACGCCGTTCTCCCGGCACCACTTGGAGATGAGGTTCTTGAGAGACTTGTTGGGCACCAGCTCCAGATTGGCCAAGACTTGCCCCGTCTTGGGGCACGACGGCACGTTGACTTGCCGGAGCCGAACCACCGGTCGATCGACTCGCTGGTCTGACCGCTAGCGGCGACGACTGGGTCGCGCATTAGATCGAGGGAGATGGGGCACCGGAGGTCCGGTGGGGGCGCCGGTGACTCCCCGTCATCTTCGACATCGATGTCCGCCTTGGAATCCGAAAAGGCCGGGGCGTGGCACTGAACAGGACACACTTGGCGTACCGGAGCAGGCCGACGAGGGCGATCATGGCGGCAGTCCATCTCTCCGATGCTCGGTCGCCGATGTCCCGCTCGAGGCTCTCGATCTCGCCGCTGCAGCTGGCCGGGTCGTTGATGCCAACCTCCTCCAGGATCTCCTCCAGCCTCTCCCGCTCGGGCACGATCTCCCGCTCGATTTCCTCGATCAGCGACAGCACGGTGGTCTTGAGCGCCGGCTACGGCTCGGCGGCCGACGCGCAACGGCGGCACTGGCGCGAGGCGAGGGCGAGGAGGTCCATGACGTCGTCGGCGAGGCCGAGCTCGACGACGGGCAGGAGGTCGAGCAGCGTGGCGAGGTCGTGGTGCAGGTCCCGCAGCTCGGCGTCCATCTCGTCCGACTGCAGCAGCAGCAGCGTGCGGCTCCGCGCGGCGCAGTCGGCCACCATGGCCTTGAAGCGCTGCAGCACGAGGAGCACCTCCCGCAGGCACAGCGAGGCCGACCGCGGCAGGTCGCCTTCGCCCGCCGGGTTGATTAGGGGAAAAGGCAGGGGGGGTTTATCAAAAGTGCGTGCATTGACCGGGCCAGCCACCTGGCTGCCAATTGTCGTTCTCTGATTGGCCTGGGACTAAATCATCACATAAAGTGCAAGTTGGAGTATGATGGAGTCAAGTTTTGCAAATTTGGAACTGAATCATCACATTCTGTGCAAGTTAAGGTACCTAGGGTGCTATTACCTCTAGTAAATGGGAGGAGAGCAAAATCGGAGCACCGAACAGGACCAGCAATCCGCTTTATTTTCCCCTGCTAAGCAACAGGAGAGGAGGACCAGCAGCTGCGAGGCGCAGAAAAAACAGAATCTACCCCACATATTCCCCGGCGCGTCACGGAGAAATATGATATGCCCCTCCTCTTCCGCCCGCCACAACCTCCGTGCACCGCTTCTTGGTGCGCCGTCCAGAGACCCGGCCCGCCTCCGCGTCCACGGAGTCCAGCCGCCTCACGGCGGGGTGCACGCGAAGCCGGCTCCACGCAGCGTCCTCCTTTCGCCACCACCACGTCCCCGTCCTCCCTCCCCCACCCAAAACCCGCCTCATCCCCGTGTCAAAACCTCCGAGCTCGCCACAGCGATCGCCAGCTCGCCTCGCCCACGCCCACGCCCGCGACCGCGGAGCTGACCCATGGAGGACGTCCTGGACTCGGCGGTGGGGGCCCACTTCAGCGGCCTCCGCCGCGACTCGCGCCGCCTCTCCTCCTCCCTCCCCTCCTCGCCCTCCTCCGCCACCTGCAACGGCGCGGCCGACGCCTCCGCGGCCGCGCCCAGCGGGCTCGCGTCCCCCACGCCCAGGCAGCCGTTCGTCATCGGTACCCCTCCGCGGCTCTCTCCTGCAGTTTCTCCGTCTTGGTTCTGTTTTCAGTTTTTTTTCTTCTTCTTCCTTTTGGTTCGTTTTCAAAGGGGTGTGCGGCGGAACGGCGTCGGGGAAGACGACGGTGTGCGACATGATCATCCAGCAGCTCCACGACCACCGCGTCGTGCTCGTCAGCCAGGTCAGCTGCTGCTCGTTGCCCGTCGGATTGTGCTTATTTTCTGCTCTGCCTTTTTTATCTCCTCCGTTGGTGCTGCTCTGCGATGTCCATATGCTCGTGTAGTGCCTGTTACGTTTGTTCAGTTTTAGAGATCAGTGGGTGGAGTTGGAATCCTGTACTCTACTCTGATGATGGCGCACATTAATTACTACACTAAATGATTCCAACTGTTCTATTGGTGCTTTTGTTCGGGGAATTGGATCGATCCGTTATTACTCAAACTATCCGTTATTACATCGTTTCCAAGACGCATCCATTTTTCTGTTGAATTAAATCTGATCCAACTATTAAAACACATCATGGTACACACCACCAATTGCAGAAACCTTATTTCCAAGCATCCCAGGAGCAAGTATAACTAAGCTTTGGTTGCAACTTTGCAGGATTCGTTCTACCGCGGTTTAACTGAGGAGGAATCTGAACATGTGGAAGAGTACAACTTTGATCACCCTGGTACTTGATGTGACAAAAATCTATGCCTTCTTTTTACCACGGGGTTTGAATCCACTTTACTTTTTACATAAGGATAAGATTTTATTTTCTTGCTTGCAGATGCATTTGATACTGATCAGCTTCTGGAGTGCATGGGAAAGCTAAAGAGTGGACAGTCTGTTAATATTCCTATATATGATTTCAAGAATCATCGACGATGCTCTGAGAGCTTTAGAAAGGTGATAACTGACTGCATAATCAACCATTTATGTGAAAGTGATAATGCCTTTGTGAATGTAGTTATTGGTGAGTAAATTTGTATACAAATGTTTTCTGTAGAATATCTGGATGAGATGAAAACTGATAACCTGCAAAAAAAAGATGAAAATTGATGACATGAAAGGCATGAATCTAAGAAATTATTGTTTTACTACCTCAATTTAAGTAAAATCTACAATTTACGAAGGTGCTAATGATCTGCTGTATGACCATGTCCCTAGCTCTTCTATTGTTAATCTGTAGAAGAACACGAGAGCTTGTGTTAAACAATGATGTCTAGTGTTGTTGGTGCTCTGTTTGATGCCTTTTCTTAATTCAAGCCAAATCAAATGGTTATGATTGTTAACTAGGTCCATAATTCCTCTTATGAATAGATCATCGGCTTTTTTGTTAGGTCAATGTATCAGATGTCATCATTCTGGAGGGCATTTTGGTTTTTCATGATCAAAGGGTGCGTGACTTGATGGACATGAAAATTTTCGTTGACACAGGTTTGTTGCTGTTCTATTTGGTTGCATATATGATTCATAACATCATGGCTACAATATTGGAGACATTGCATGCTCTGAGTGTCCTACCGTTTTGTTTGGTTAGTCATATTTATAGCTATTATTTGACCGCTCACCCTTTCTTCTGTTGACCATTATGGATCGGTTTAGATGCTGATATTAGGCTTGCCCGAAGAATAAGGCGTGATACAGTTGAAAGAGGTAGAGATGTTCTCTCAGTGCTTGAGCAGGTAATTCTACCACCAGTCTCGTCTGCTTCACTTTTGGATCTCTTAGCCTTATTCTATTCAAAGTATATTAACTCCCTAAGCTTCAACGCATAAGGCATACAGTATCCTGCTGTTTCAAAATATAAGGTCTGCATGCAATTTAAATTATTATTTCTCTATCATGCGGCCATCTCTCTTCGGTATCTATGAGTTAGCCTTTCAACAGACTATAATCTTCTTATACCCATGACACTACACAGGTATATCATTGTCGTCTCCAACTCTTCACCTATCATTCTGCCATTGTCCCCCCCACACAAATATGCCGCATGAAAGAAATGAAGTATATTGAGATACACATGCATGTCATTATCCTTTTTAACACAATTTTTTAATGAAATAATTAGTACGGGAGGTTTGTGAAGCCCGCCTTTGATGATTTTATCCTGCCTTCCAAGAAGTATGCTGATGTGATCATACCACGAGGAGGAGATAACCATGTTGCCATTGATTTAATTGCGCAACATATTCGTACAAAACTTGGACAACATGACTTGTGCAAATTATATCCAAATGTTTGTGTAGTTCAGACAACTTTCCAGGTATATTTATCGTAACTGTTGCTCTTTAAGATTTATAGTGGTACTTAGGTTTCCAAACTTGAGCTCTTAAAATTTTATCTGGACAGATACGGGGAATGCATACCCTCATTCGTGACCGGGAAATTACGACTCCTGATTTTGTCTTCTATTCAGATCGGCTGATTCGTCTGGTAATGGTCTTGTTTCTCATAACCCCTACCTCTTTGTCCTTTCTTGGATAAATTCCTTGAGTCCAGTGGCAAAGTTAAGCTGCATAGTTCATAAATGTAGTCGACTGTTTACTAAGTGTTGCTGGTACGGAAATATCTTGCTAGGTAGTTGAGCATGGTCTGGGGAATTTGCCATTTACAGAGAAGCAGGTCGTTACACCTACAGGTACATCACTGGTTCCATTGTGTCATGCACCCCTTTTGTTATCTGTTTTCTAAGAAATTAGTTGCCATGCTTCAGTCAAATAACTTAATTCCATACATCTGTTTGAATTATGGTTGGAGATGGAGAGCTGGAATAGCTACCCTTTTTCAGGAACATGGCAGGTGCTCTGCCTTTCCATTTAGAAAAAGGTGCCTGGTTTGTTATACGGAAACCAGGTGAAAAAACACAGAATAGCCCCTTTATAATTTCAAAAAATACTGATCCATGTCGTCATTGGTTAACAGAGCTTGCGTGGAGATAAGGGCTTATCCCCTCAATTTGTGAAATTAAACTTGTACTTGTCCAATTTGTATTCATGAAATAATTTTCTGGAAGTCTGGGACTTCTAAAGATTGTTGGTTGTTTGGCTTATTTACTTCATATAACTGTCAACTGTGTATTTCTGTTAACGCAAGGCCCTGTGTACTCACTCATATTCTGTAATAGAACAAATAATGAAATTTCTGTACACTAACATCATGATTATTTATGCTTTGTCCAGGATCTATTTATTCAGGAGTTGACTTCTGCAAGAAGCTCTGTGGAGTGTCGATTGTTCGAAGGTATCCCCAACTTCTAAAATCTTATAGTTTAAAAGGCTGGAATTTTAATTTCCGTTATTCAGTTAAGGGGTTATGCCCGGTTCAAAAAAAAAAGGCTGGAATTTTAGGTACCACCATATTCTAGCTTATGCAGCTTCCATGTAGCTCATTTTGACTAGCCTCAATAATTCGCTATACCTGTACATAAACTATTATATGGATATTTCTGCACTCTATAGACACATATAAAAAATGCGCAATAATTCAGGGATGCAAATAATGTGTCAAATTTTGACTCGTTTGTGATTTGTCTTTACACAGTTCAGTTATCCTGTATTATATGTCTTAGAATTGACTTTTCAATCCTGGTACATAGCTCCCTACTTTTGTTCCATTCCATCAATTATTACAGTACTAAGTAACAGACGTTAATCACTATTAACTCATGCTATACTGCTGGCTAGTAGGAGCAACCAGAGCTGATTTAAACTTACATGCAATGTCCCGGCCTTCTTCCTTTTCCCTAGTTATACATTTTCAGTGAAATTACTCGTGCAATACATTTTTGGTACTCTCTCCGATCCAAATTAACTGACGCAGCTCTAGTACAACTTTGTACTAAAGTTGTACTAGAGTTGCGTCAATTAATTTGGATCGGAGGGAGTAGTTAGAAAACTTAGAATGATATATATGTTTCACTGCAGTGGTGAAAGCATGGAGAATGCTCTGCGTGCTTGTTGTAAGGGGATAAAAATAGGTAAAATCCTAATACATCGTGTTGGAGACAACGGACAACAAGTTGAGTGTTCTTTACATATACTTCAATTGAAAATGTTCTTGAAAATAGTTCACTACTGCGGTTTTGGTGAATAAACCTTACTTCTGTGTTCAGCTCATATACCACAAGCTGCCCGAGGATATTGCTCAACGTCATGTTCTACTTATGGATCCTGTGCTCGGTACAGGTTAGTGTTACATATCCGTCTAATCTTTTCTTGATCGTTCTGTTTGCATTTCAAATTTAGAACTAATAGAAGTTGGTTACTCCCATGACTAAAGTTCTAGTATACTTTGTTTCTGACAGGTAACTCAGCAAATCAAGCTATACAGCTTCTTAGAAGTACAGGAGTTCCAGAGGACCACATCATGTTTCTTAATCTTATCTCGGTAAAGTTGTCTAGCCCCCCATCTAGGAGTACTAGCTTAGTTACCATCCAGTACCTGTTTCCTTATTTTTGTTTAGCTTGTTTACGACATTCCACAAACAGGCTCCTGAAGGAATCCATTGTGTCTGCAAGCGATTCCCTGGTGTGAAGATCGTAACATCGGAGATCGACGCCGGGTTGAACGAGGAATACCGTGTCGTGCCAGGGCTGGGTGAATACGGCGATCGCTACTTCGGCACTGACTAATCGGCTCACGACGCCGCTTCCATTTGGCGGCGGAGCGATAGATGGGGTAGAGCTAACAGGAGATATACTGGTGTTTGGTTGTTGTATACCGGCAGAGTGGAGCGGAGGCATCACTCTGGCAACCATTGGAGGCACCAAGGTCACATGATGACGTGCATTATCATAATTCATATGGCTAAGATAGACACTTTGCGCCTTATGTTCATGTGACGAGCTTTGCCTTTTTGTGTGTGAGTTTTGAGGCCCTTGGCATGATAATAACTTGGTCCTCAGCAGTTATAATGGCTTGAGAAATGTATAGCTTGCCTTGGATTTGTGGGCTCGTGGCAGATACATGTCGTAATATTGCCTCAACATTTTTTCGACAAAAGTGGATTCTATTGGCTTAAAATGGAGCATCAAGAATACACAAACACAATGAGTACACACTCGGTCTCCGCATAGATAGGATGCACACAACACTTATACACAAGAAAACACGTCAACAAATAGCAAAGTCATATCTATACCCCTACTAGCTAAGTGTCCGTGCGTTGCCACGGATTAACAAATATATATATACAAAGAGAAAATTCATGTGACATGAGAGTCAAAGGTCATTTCTATGGGATGATATCTCATGGTCATGATCTAGTAGATACATACATCTCGTCATTGTCTTTCTTCCACACTCCATGTCTGAGCTACCACGCGACATTCGACTTCCTTCTCCCACCATGCATGCTTTTATCTCCTATTTTTCCTACCTTTACCTTACACGACAGTACCAAGTTTCTTGTCCAACTATCATAATCTTCTCCGGTAGGGCACCCCCTTAGATTATTACTGACTTGTACATGTTGCAAATAAGATCAACGAAAATGGATACTAAATTTCTGATGAGAAATGAGAATTCAGGGCAATATCTTCCCAAGACAATAATAATTCCAAGACAATCTTTTTATACCTTCTGTCAACATTGGGACACACATTCCACACAATAAGCATGCAATGATGTTGATACTTGATTAATTGTCATTATATGTCTAATTACAAGATAACTTTACTCAAAACCGCCTATCTTAGCCAAATCAACAAATCTCTCTCATTAATGCAATTTTCTTTAGAAAACAAATAATAGATTCTTGCCTATCTTAGCCAAATCAACGGATCTCTTTCATTAATGCAATTTGCTTTAGCAAACAAATAATAGATTCTTTCCTACCTTAGCCAAATCAACGGATCTCTCCCATTAATGCAATTTGCTTTAGCAAACAAATAATAGATTCTTTCCTACCTTAGCCAAATCAATGGATCTCTCCCCGGTTCGCTGGGCGCGTTTCGGTGGGTGGGCGTGGGGGTGGGGGTAATTTGATGGAAATAAACCGGTTGAAAATAAACCGGTTGAAAATAAACGGATCCTGTCTCACTCTTCACTTTCTTTACAATAAACTTCAGAATAGCAATCTTGGCGAGTGATCTCGACGGGGTTCAATCGGCGTGGCGCACCGCTGATTCTTCCAGGAGTGGGTGCTGAGAGGAAGGATCCCAAACCTCCATTGTCAATCGGCCAGAGCTGCATCGTCCTTTGGATCAGAGCGTGGACGGGATCAAGACGGCAGGGTTTGAGGAATTTGTAGGACATGAGGGTTTATGGTTGGCAGCACGAGAACTCACCCATATCTTGGCAGACGGCAGGCCCGAGGTGCGGTCGTGTTCATGCTTCGGGAGCTGCCACATGCTGTCCTCGCCGCCATCAGCGACACCACCGCCATCGCCTGTTGCCACCACTTCAGCGCCACGAGCGTGGGACCGAGGGACGAAGGGAAGGGAAGGAAGTGAATTGACGTACCTATGTTTGGTATATATCACACGAGGAATCAAAACTGGATGCATGTGAAAGCATAGAGATGGGAGAGGAGGACAGAGGAAGGGAAGGGCAAGAGGAACCTGAGGATGTGCGATGAAGGAGCGATGCCAAAACATCACAAAGAGGGACCCGTAGCTCGTCACGTAGCGCGGCCGCCTCATTGCCGGCTGCCACCCCGCGCTACCGCCTCCGTGCGCAGGTTCCGTTCGTGGAGCGTGAGGAGCGCATGACCTGCCTTCACCGCGGCCTGGTCCTCCCCACTATCGTGAAGCTCGCCCGCATCGCCGCCCCAATTGCTCAGGATGACGGATGAAGATCCTGCAACAGCGACGTGGGTGAGGGATGCAGCCGACGATGGAGGGATGATTTTCGTGGCTAAACCCTCCCTATCAAAATAACTACTTAAAAAAGGCAAAGATCGATGCATTAGGAAAATTAGGATTTGGAATTGATTGTCATAAAACAAAATTTTATTAATTGATAACGTGCTATCGGTACATGCCCGTTTATAACGTGTCTAGTTAGGAAACTTTGGAAAAGTTAGGAAAGTTTTTATTGTGAGGGTAAAAAAATCAATGTGAGGAGATATGGTGGTGGGATATGAGACGAAAATAAACCAGACGAAAATAAACCAGATGAAATATAACCAGACGAAAATAAACCGTGGACGCAATCCTACCAACTGCTCCATTAGAAGTAGAGATTAGAAGTAGAGATATAGTGTGCGAATAACTTTGAAAGATGGTCGTTGGATGAAGCCAATTCGAATGGCAAATCCGAGCTCTATTAGCCGTTGGATATCATCTACATTTCACCAGATTCTACACATGTACAATCTAGAAGACTCCATGGTTGAACTTAAGCATAGTGCACAAACCTCAAAAGAAGCACTTCTCCTTTGTTCTAGAATCTTCCGTATCATTATTGCCCAAACTTGTTTTTTATAAATGAATTGCCATTATTTCTTTTTACTTTATGCTTTACAATGCACAATTCCATGAATTTTAAAATAGATTAACTTTTCTATAAAACTAATTGATTTTGAATGAAATGAACTATAAGAATTAAATGAACATCTACATCATGCATATATGAATCAAAGCTTACATGCTATAGTGTGGTATTTGTTCATAATTTGGTTACCAAATCTCATGTGTGCAATGCACGCATACCTTACTAGTAATACCAAAGTTATGTGTAGGTGAGTAAAAAGAGAAAGAATGAAAAACCTAAAAGAGTGCAGACTTTTCATAATGCCAAGCCCACCAGTAGTTGGTCGATGATGTATGTACTCGGTGGAATATTTAGGATAAAGTCTGCATCAACCCGGTCCATATATGGACAAAAACGGCAGCATGATCCTCTCGTATGTAAAGCTATCTCTCCTACCATCCCCTAGTTGGGCCAAAAAAAGGCCCAGTTTGTACCTAAAAGTGCCCAATTTATACAAATTTGCCATATCTAAAAAAAATCTTATATACACACAAAAAAGTGGCTGTGATTTTTGTACCTGCAAAATTTGATACAAAGAGAAAAATGCCGCTATATGCTAAAATGCCATGTTCTTTCAAACAAAAAATGTCATGCTCAACAAAAATGAAAGAGGCATGATCTATGTAAAAAAAATGCCACGCTCTTGAAAAAAATGACATGCTCTTCAAAAAAAATTATGAAAATACCATGCTTGTGGAAATAAATGCCATTTTATGGGCCTGAACCTAATATTAAAAATGCCATGTTATTGATAAAAACTGCCATCCTATTATTAAGAAAATGTCATGTCATTAATTATTAAAATGGCATGCTCTTAATAAATAAAACTGACATCTCTAATTAATAAAAATGTCATGTTATCAGTTATAAAACTGCATCCTATTACTAATAAAAAAGCCATGTTATTAACTATTAAAATGCCACGTTGTTAATTATAGAAATGCCATCCTCTTATTTAAAAATTTCCAGGTTATTAATAAAAATTCATGTTATTAACTATTAAAATGCCATGTTGTTAATTATACAAATGTCATCCTCTTATTGAAAAACTGCCATGTTATTATTTATTAAAACTGACATGTTACTAATAAAAATGCTATGTTATTAATAAAAATGTCATGTTATTAACTATTAAAATGCCATGTTGTTAAATATAAAAATGTCATGTTATTAATTATTAAAATTCCTTCCTCTTATTAATATAATTGACATCCTATTATTAATAATGAAAAGTGCCATCATCTTAACAATAAAAATGACAAGGTCTAACGAGTTAAAATGCCATGGTCTAAAAAGGTAAAAATGTCATGCTACCTATAATGAATTTTACACATGACAAGCATCAGAACAAAAGTTTGTTGAACACAAAGTAACAAATTTTCCATGTTTAAAAAAATATATGCCATGACAACTCCATGAATTTGCCATGTTAAAGAATTATTTTCACGCGTAGACGTTAAGGAAAAACTCTAGGAAATTGACATGTTAAAACATTATTTCCCATGACAAAACTCTAGGAATTAGCCATGTGGACATTGTTTGCACATGTGAACATTGTTTGCACATGTGAACTTGTCATATACCTAGTACAAAAACATTTGCAATCAAATTTTTTCATGAGTTGATACTATCTCGAAACAAAAAGAATCGAGAACAACTTATTGATGCATGATAGTTTTGCCTAGCCACCACACACACAAAATGCCATGTGACAAAAAAAATGCAATTTGCTCTAAAAAAAGCTATGTTTCACTATACAAAAACTGCCATGTTTTTGAATTTGCCATATGATTTTCTGCTATGTTTTGAATTTGCCATATGAATTTCTTTCAGAAATTGGCCATGCCCACTTCACACGTAAATGCCACGTGATCAAATATAATTTGGGAGTCCTTAAAAAATACTTTTGTTACATTTTCCAAGCCACTTCACATAAATGCCACGTGGCCATGTGGGGATTAGAGCAAGCATTAGGTTCTCATATAGTTAGCTGAAATTTTGCAAGAATGTAACAAAAATGCCATGGCAAAAATCCAACTCAAAATTGCCAATGCAAGGGGACAAGTATTGTTGTACACGGCAAAATGTATCAAAACAACTGCCTAAATGGTCAATGATGCACTAATATCTCGTGTGAAGTTTCTCACAATAGTAAGAT